CATTTATGCCTAACGGCTATAGTACAAAGCGAGTAGGCTGGCATCCTCTTGTGAGATTGACCTACGAATCTCTTTAGCATGTACTCCTATACGAAATGAAATTTTTCACAACAAAAAAGGACTTGCTTTGGCCTTTTTTATACATATCAGAAAATATTTTTATAGCGACTATAAATCATACAATTCGTTAAATAAGGGTATATTAATCATTTACCACCACTAAAATATATCATATAAGGATGGTGTATAACTTCAACTTAGTGCAAATATACCAATATTCGAAGGGGTAAGAAAAGTATAGTAGTTCAAGAAGGCTATTCAAAAATATTTTTAATAATCAGAAGAATCGAAAGTAAACATAGCATAAGATAAATATTGCAATGAAAAAGAATGCATACTTAGCAAAAAGTGATCGATTGCTTAACGCATTGGCATCTTGACGATACTTCTTAGAAAAGTTTTGCAAATCACTGGCGCGTGCATCCAAATCTATAGTGCCAAAAGAGTTAATAAGAAATGCCGTTTAATTAACGCGTACAGTATGAATAGAGATAAATAAGCAAAACATTACCTGAGAGGGCTTCTCCACGACGCAGAACATCATCCATATTTCTGACCATAATCCTTTGGACATCCTCTAAAGCCACATTTAATTGGGACATATTTGAACGGCTATCGGTGAAAAATTTTTGACGTTTGCCAATATAAATATCTAATTCCAAATAATAAATCGAAGTATTACCAAACTCTAGGAAGCTAAAAGGCCGAGAAGTGGTATGAATTTTTTTTGAGTAATCAGAAAAAAAAGTTTTTTGGATGTCTTCAAGGAAGGCAAAAGCTTTCACACGAGAAAAATCAGTTTGGGTGACTACGAGATAGCAAACACCTTCTTCCAAAAGGTAGTGATATACACAAGAATCAGCGGTAAATGAGCACCTAGGCGGAGAAGATTGATTTAATCGGTGTACTAGGTGTCTCGCCTTTGACTGATATGAAACAAGCTGAGAATCTATCTATAAAATAATAATAAGTAATAATAGTATTAAATAAGTAGAAATATAAAAAAGACATAAAATTAAGTGAAAAAGAACTCGCCCGAGTATCCTCCAAAGTCCAGGCAGATAGAGGAAGGCAATCTGCCAATCTGGTTATTAAGACAAAATAAATCATCGTGCCAACTTGGCAAGCTTATTCAATATACGCGCTCTATATATACAACAAAATTCATTTTATTTTGCAACTAAAATGATATAAATAAATATATTTTAACTAATTGATTATATCATTTTAATTATAACACTCTTTGTTATTATGCCTCGCTTTTTGGCTAGTACTTCTATGTCGGTATGACCGCTGGGTCTAGATGCCGAGTTGTTCAGGTCACAAATATATCGCCATCAGCCACCCATGAACAATTAAGGACTCTTTTTGGCCACATTGGCGTTATAGAAGAGATAGTGGTCTATCCCAACGAAGACAAGGATGATACCACAAGCAAGGTAGGCTTGTTCTTAATATTAAGAGTAAAGGTCTGTTACATTCGATATGATGATGCCGTTAATGCTGAAGTCGCTCTTCATCTCAATAATACGGTTTTTCTCGATCGTGCCTTAATTGTATTGCCCCTTGCTGGTGGCAGGGACGCTGTGCCAGACGAGAAGTATGCAAACCTCGTGAGGGCTCCTCCGAACACCGCAGCTGGTGTCCTACCCAGGAGTGCGGAGTGGCCTTTAGACGTTATCAGCATGGTGGTTGGGCGGCCTGGAGAGCAGGTTATCCAGACCATCGAGCCCCGACTTTCTACAATGGGCTTCCCGTTGTATCCTTCTCTTCCTGCTACCACAGACGGAAATCGAATTGAAGAGATAAGACGCACTATTCTTGTCACCAACCTGGATCCAAAGTCTAGTGGCGATCAAGTAAGACTAGTAGAACTGTTCAAATCCACCCCCGATTCAAACTGGTTTTCACTCCACAATAGCTCATTTATATTTCCCAAGCGGCATTTCATGTCCTAACTCCTCTGCCATTTTTGTGTATCGTGTTTTCCAGCCTTGCTCACGTCTTTGGGGTTGCATCTCATTGCCGCAAGAATTCGTTCGTTAGGAGATTTTTGCAATGGTATCTAGTAATATCCTGCCCACCTCTTTCTGTGAATCTTTTTGTGTATCTGTTTTGTCTTTTTGTCGAATTAGTCCTCGCAGCGTGTCGCCTGATTCAGGCCCCTACTGCAAGTCTTCCCTTGAAGGCTCGAGTTAAGCCAGAGGCTTTCCATCTGACCGTCGCGAGCAACTCAATTAATATACAAAGGTAACTAGTGGTTACCTTTAGTTATCGTCTGACCTTTTACTGCGCCAATTTTG